TAGAGGCTATTTGAGACAGTCTTCCCCAAGGTCTATACATTAATACATGTATTACCCGAAAGCAGCATGAGGCACTCCAGGGCAAGAAGTGCAGTTTTTCTGTTGAATCGTGAAGCAAGACATATTCAATTGGCAACAACTATACCATAAAATTAGACTAGGAGAAGCATTCCAAGAGCACTAAGGCAGCAAAGTTTCCCCATATGCCATGCCAGTGAAGAACTAACGATAGTACTTAACCTCCACAATGGAATTTACAATGTATAATCTACTTGTGATGCTGGTAATCCCAGTTTACAAACTGCTCAGTAGATAAACACATCCACAATTTGTTTCTAAATTATGGCATGAACTAGGGCTGCGTACCTAAACGTAACATCAGGTACAGGTACAGGTACCGGTACAGAGGTTTAGGTACAGGTCCAGACCTGTACCTGTACCTGAACAATTTGACAAATTAACACGCGGCAAAATACAGACACAACACAAAAGCAACAAAGGCCGCCAATATGGAGGGAAGGGAAATCACAACCCTGGATCAGCCACACTCTCGCGATGTCTCGTGAAACTGAGGATCTCAAATCAATCGACGGTGTTTACGTCTTTTCCAGTGCTAATTTTTCGTCTTTGTGGTAGGATTTAACTATCTTTAGTCATATACATGGTGTAAACTAGCTATTTCGGTATATACTCGTTACTTCATGATCCGGTATTTTGGACCTGTACCGAAACAATTTTTACGGTATTGGACCGGTACAGTGTACCGGTCCGCAGCCCTAGCATGAACACATGAAAATGAAAACACTGAAAACAGTAACTCAAGAATCTGGTGTAATGCTTTTGTAAATGATTGATTGAATGATATGTCACAGTACCCTTGGAAGTTAGATTATTCTGTTCTAGAATAGGTTCAAACCAAGGTCATTTGTTGCTTTTTCCTGGTGTCCTGACTGTTTTTGTCACCTGCCAGAGGTCAACCCACCCGATGTCCCTGTGCTAACTTCCTACGTACCTACATCCTGTGGTAACACAAGAAAGTGGTCTGACCTTACACGCAAGGGTGGGGTTACTTACCTGAACCACATCAGAGACAGTCTCAGACAGATACATGATTCATTGCTATTAGTCTGTTGTGTCAGGGTGATGAGGCAGGAAATATAGCTCAACACAACTTTCAGCAAAGGATTTTTTTTACAAAATTATCCTATAGTATACCAGCTGTCCTCTAAGTTTTATTTCAAGATTTTCTATTCATTTTCCATGTATGTTTACAGTATTCGAATATCGAAACGTTACCAGATTATCAGCCAGAAATGAATAATCCTTGTGGCTATATAATCATGTGTCTCTTTCTTAGGTGCTTTGACCTGAGAAACAAGTTATGTGATGAAAGGTAGGGAAATATCTATGGTTACAACAGATTGACAGTTGACTTCAGTTGACCTTTCTAGATTCATTCCAGAGCAGTGAGATATGCTAGCCGCCGTAGCCGGTATCTACAATCCTGAGGGAAGAGCCTGGCCTTGAGTCGCATCTTTAACTCTAACTAAGACAGGGACAAGGCCAGTCCAGTACTACGTAACCGCTCAATATCACCAAGGCCCGGGGACATGGCCTGAGCTGTGTCAAGGCAGCATGGAACTGAATTAGCAATAGGACGGGCTGCACAAGGGAGAATCAAAGCTCTCCAGTCTATTTGATGTTACCAAATTACCAGGTAGAGTCGGCCTGGCATCAACTATGGACAAGATTATGCTGGTCCTATAGAATATATTATATGAGGCAGGAAATATAGCATTATATGTTAATTATGGTGTCAAATTCACCATAAATATGGTCCATAGGATAAGATGTTCAATTAGGTCTATAGACTCTATACCAAAAGTCAGGTTTGCTTGGAACAAAAAAAAATGTATCATAATGTATATGAGGGATGTATATATCGCCTGTCTTTTCATTTGTAATTTGTGTACCAACTTCTTTGCAATTCAGGGAATTTTGTCCCTGCTGTAAGGTTTGCTTTTTGGTAGTCATGAATAAATAAATAAAAATAAATTTTGTAAAAACTTATCTAAGTTCTAAATGGTGTGGTTCTGAGAATCTGAGTGGTAAAATTGTTGTTGTGCCCCCCCC